CATGAGGGCCTCTGGGTATGGAATTCCTTTGTAGAGGAGAACTGATGATGAGTTAGTAGCCTGCTTGACTTGTATTTTAAAGTGTGTACTCAGAAGTGACCTATTTTCATAGCAGAATTTTTGAATGTGAATAGCTTTCGGCAACTGAAGGCTGAGAAAGGAATTCAACAGCTGGTCTGGGGAAAACTTCTTCCAAATACTGGAATATGTTTTAGATGCAGGTGTGAAGGACGGTTACTGGGGAGTGGAGTGTTGTGGGAACAGCGCCACCTTGTGGTTCCCAGGGTCACTTTCCTGAGCATAGCCTGGTTAGTCCCAGAGCTAAGGGTGGGTCCTTGGAGGGTTGCACTTCTGGAACTGGGGATTCGAATTAACTGGGAAGGGGCTTTCTGAGACCACAGCTTGGGTTCCAGGCCATGTCCCTGCCTGGAAGCTGGCCCAGCTGCCTAACTTTGGAGCCTTCTTTGAAAGCCACCATACTGCTGAAGCCCGTGAAGACTACTAGAGCAGGTGTGTGGCTGTTGAAGGAAGTGGGCTATCACTGGTGGCACAATGTCTGATGTGGCAGAGCCTTAAAGGAGATGGGACAGATTTCACAACTGACATGGCTGAGGCCAAGTGGAAAGATCGTTAACCAGTAAGTACATAGTGGGAGGGGGAGAAGACGCATCTCCCTGTCTAGAAAGGCAGGACCATGCAAAGAAGAGAGGACTCTACCCCTCACCTAAACCTCGCCCTGACCCCAGTCAGGGCCCTGAATGAACCCTCCTACTATTACCTCTCTCACTGCCCTCCCATCCCTGGCACGAGGTTGCTGGGAAGACAAAACAAGGTGTAAGAGACTCAGCCCAGTGTCTGGCACATGAAAAGCCCTCAAAGGTTCCCATGTTTGTCCCAACCCTCCCCCACTCTGTGGATTAGACATTGGGGTGACAACAATGAACCCAGCACAGCCAGCGTTGGAACGCGCAGCCTGCTGAAGCACTGTTGGGTACAACAGTTATATACATAAGCCACAGCTGTGAACCACTCATTTAATTTAAAATTTTCTAGTAGCCACATTAAAAGAGTAAAAAGAAACAGGTGACATTACTTTTAATAATATATTTTATTTAACCCAATATAGCCAATATCTTGCCATTTCAACATGTAATTAAAANGAGGAGGAATGTGAATGTTATTAAAAGTGGCATTTATGGTTGTTTGAATCTATGTGTCTGTTAAAGGGGCACGGTAGGAAAAATTGGAGAGAGAAATCCAGGCTTGGTATTGGGGCCCTTTCTAGGAATAGGTGAGGTGATAAGAACATTTTAAAATATGCCAGTTACAGATGAGGTGAGGGAGGGGGAAGAGAGGAGGGAAGGAGGGGAGGAGAGTGGTTTTATCCTCAAAATACATTTATCAGTAACATAAAGAATAATAAGACAGGAAAATAGCAACAGCCTGGGCTATACTATTTGAAGATTTGATGCCCCCAATAATGATCCTACAAGTAGAGTTAACTTCATCTATCCCCCTTAGAAAACTCAACAGCTTGAGTCAGCTGGAATATTTAAAATGTCAGGAAGTTACTTGAAAGCAGATTCATGATGCAACTATGTAAACAATTAATACATCTGGCCTGGTCCTTTTTGATTCTTACACAGGTCAACAAGTAAATAGCAACTGTCCTGTGTTTATGAGAGTTAAGGGGCCTTCTTGCAGTCTCTTTAAAAAACAATTAATACAACAGCCACAATCTACTGAGAATCTATTATATATTGGACACCGATGGTTCTTTGTTATTATACTATAAATATGATGATAATGACAGCCATTATTTATTGAGAACCAACAATCTCATGTAATCCTTACAACACTCATCAGGGGCCAGCTTAAACCAATTTTACTTCACCCTATTTTAGATGGTCAGATAACTCACTTTACTTGCATCTTTTCATTTCATTCTTCCCTTTACCCTAATGAGTGGACATTCCTCCATTTTAGAGCCTGGATCCCACAGCTTAGTAAGTGGAGAGCTGGGATCAGTTAAAGGAAGGCTGGTCCCCACGGCCCATTCTCCTGCCACACAGGTATTCTGTCTTTCTCAATCTGTCCCCACAGCCGGTGAGGACACTCTGGGAAACAACCACTGAGTGGGGTAGTGGCGGCAGCCAGTGTCTCCCCTGGTGGCAAGCTTCAGTTAGCCCATATGCACAAGTCAGGCAGAGCCATGTCTAGAGGGAGGAAGGCTCGGGCCCAGGCAGAGCCAACGTGGATAATTCCCATAGAGTGGACCCTACCACTAAGGTCCACTAGGCTCCTAACTGCTCTGATCAACGAAGAGCCTAAAGAGTCCCTGCTGCTCCCTCATCTCCCTCACTAAGAGCTACAATCAGAGGACCATGCTGCATGGGCAAGTTCACACTGAATAAAAATATGGCAGTGACCCAGTCAGTTTCACTGGGAATCTGTGTGCAGGTGGGGAAGTCCGAGAACCCAGAGAAGGAAAGCAGATGGCCTGCCCTGGAACCAGAAGCATCACAAACAAGCTCAATATAATTTGAAGGTGCAGAGTTAAGAGACAGTGGTGCCTATCTGACTCCCACCCCTCTTTAATTGTCCCATGTCACGATTCTTATGCTCTCACAGGAAACAGAAAGTCCATTGGTTTTGGAATCTGACCCATACAGTGGATGTTCAGGTATAGCTGCCCATGCAACTACCTCCCAATCCAGTGTCTCCTTCACTGAAAACTCCAAGTTGACTGTTGTGGAAAGGAAGAGGATATATCTCCAAACTACCTAAGTGTGGGGGGGAGAAAGAAACTTCTGGTAGACCAGAGCCTGCATTGAAGGCTTTGTCCAAATGGATATGGAGATACCTGACCCAACAGCTCAGATATCTGGTCTCTCACTGACTCCTTCTCTCTAAAGACAGGCTGCAGTCAGGCGCAACAGTGACTATGCCCCCCCCCCCCAGGCACCAGGGAAAGCTCCCCACACCTGAGTAGGAGAGCTGGGCCAGCTGCACCTCCTGGCCAGGCAGCCCTGGTGATGCTTAGGTGCCCACCATAGAGGATGCCATTCATGGTGTTTGGACCTGGGAGGTGATGGGAGAAAGAAGCCAGGCGAAGTTTTACCTACGTACTTGGTATCTGATACTAGCAGCTGCTATATATTGCACACCTATTATATGCCAGGTGCCCATACATATCATGGCATTTCATTCCCACAGGAAACTGAGGTACAAGACGTTAAGGGATTTGCCTAATGTCACTCTGCTAGTGATGGCAGAGGAGGACCTTGAGTCCAGGCTGCCTGACTCCAAAGCACTCTGGGGGTGGAGGTGGGGCGCCTTTCACATTGCCCCTCCTCCTCCTCCCCACCAGCCTCTGACAATTCACACTGCTGAGATTCAGGATTCCAGTTTTCCTTCTCTGCCCCACATGGCATTGGGGGGAAATCCAGTCAGATGACCGGCAAAGCTCAGGGCTCTTGGTTCCCACATGGCATCCTAACTGTGTCTTGGGGAGACAGCACAAGCTCCAAGTCCAATGGACAAGCTAGGACTTGAGATGCCTGGGGCTTCCTCTGCCTCTCTCTGCAAAACCACAGCGCTGGAATAGCACGGCCTTGCAAAGCATTCGCTTACAAAAGGGGGAGGCCAACTGCACACAGGAAGAAAACTCCGGATGGTGGCGGGCAGCCTGCAGACAGGTGGTGACCAGGGCTGGCTGCCGTTGGCTGGGTCCAGCCAGAAGCTCTAGGTGGACAGGCCCAGATCCAGGTCTTTTGGAAGGAAGGCAGAACGAGGTGGGAGTTGGGATCACGCCGTACTGCCTCCAGCTCCCTCTGAATCTGCTGCCGAACCTTCCCAGCCCCTTTGCGGAACAGAGGATCTTAGCCAGCAGTCAGAGCACTGTTTTCTCCCGCCCCCGCTCTCCCCAGCCTTGAGCTTCCCAGAGCCCTGCCGGCGCACCCACCTCCTCCACCGCGCTGCGCAATTTGTGCTGCGTGTCCTCCATCAGTTCCTCCACTTCGCGGAACATCTCGTTGAGGGTGGCCTCCTCCTGCGGGTAGTTGAGAGCCGCGCCGGGCTCGACGGGAGCCGAAGTAGCAGTCGGAGCCGGCGCGGGGGCCGTGGGGACCGCGGCCGCCAGCAGCAGGCATAGCAGGGTGCTCCCGAACCGCCGCATCTCCGCTCTGCGCCCAATGTCTCTGCCTCTGCCTGCGTCCCGGAACACGGTCAGAGAGCGCCGACCACCCCCTCGCCAGCCCCGTCGCCCCGCCCCGCCGCCCTGGGCAATCGGAGTCCCTGCCAGTCCCCGACGCCCTTCTTCCCCGCCCCCACCCTCAGATGGGACGAAACTGACTCCCCCAGGACGCAGCTCCCCCAGACAGAGGAGCACCCTCCGGGTCCAGCTCCGCGCCCCCGCACCCTGGTCCCCTCAGTACCCCCACCCGCATCCTCGTGCACAGGCTACGCTCTGCCTCTTCTCCCAGCAATGGCCCCCCTCCCGGAGCAACCGAACCCGGGTTTCCTACGCTAACAGCCCCCAGCTCATCCGAGCTCCTGGGTTCAGCGGGTTCAAGCCCTGCCCGCTCCTCGACCCAGTCAGAACGTAGCTCTAGTGCCGCGACCCCATTCCCACCCCAACTCCATCCCAGTCCCCAGAGGGGTGTTAAGAGCGCAAGCCAGCAGCCTACCCTCGGGGTCGGACCTGAGTCCACGCCCAGGTCCTCACTCATCCAGGCGAGACCTAGCAGAGCCATCCCCCATCCCCGCCGCCGCCGCCCTTCACCCACCCGACTGGACCGAGCTGCGCTCCGGGCTGGACCTGCCAGGCCTCGCGGGGAGGCTGCGGAGCGGCTGCAGGAGCTGGAGCAGCGCGGTGGGCGGGCCGCGGGTGCGGGAGCGAGGCTGGGATGCGACAGCGCTGGTACCCGAGCGAGCCCGCATCGCGCTCCGCCAGTCCGCCGGCCAGGCCCCCGCCCGGCGGGAGGGGCGGCGCCCAGCCAGCCGCCATTGGCTAGCCCGGGCGCCGGCGACCTCGCGCCCTAGTCCTGCCTTCTCTGCCTCCGGGGTCCACTCTACCGGAAGCCGTCCAATTTCCTGAATCGCTGGGGCCCCACGGCATCCTAGGCCATTGTCATCTCTGGCTTGGATTCTTGCAACAGCCTACGGGACGGGAGCAGGTGAGGGGTTGGAGGTGCCTTCCTGAGTCCTACCTGGCCCTCTTCAAGCCATCCTCCAACCGGCATGCATGCAGCCCTACAGGATGAAATCCCAGCCCCTAAGCCTGGCGTTCATCGCCCATCACGGGCTGGCCTTAATCTGCCTGCCGTGGTTGACGCCATACTCCAGCCAAGAAAACCCACTTGTAGCTCCTAGAATAGGTCGCGAGAATGTCAGCAAGCTTCTTGAGGGCAGCACAGCAGAGTGGTTAAGACCAGGCAGCCACAGCCAGGCTACCTAGTGTGAATCCTAGCTCTGCTCCGCAGGCCCTTACCCATCTGGCCAAGTTACCAGAACTGCCTGCGCTCCAATAAACCCCAATGTAAAATGGAGNTGATGCCAATAGTATCCATTCAGGAACCAAATCTTTAGAACTGTTACCAAACTCAGGTTTGGCTGCTTGCTGCTCGTGAGCCAATGATCGAGAGACAAGGGTCGGTGGAAAGAAAAGTAGGTTTATTCAAAATACAGGCATTCCAAGATGGTGGATTGCTGTCTCAAAGGCCACCTTCCCCATTCCTAGAACAGGCAAGAAGTTTTATAGGTACACAAGAAGAGGCAGAACAAAGGAAAGGGGCTTAGTCATGTGACTCCTTGGTGCTGACATCCAGGTGAACGTCTCCTGGGGTCCGGTTTGTTCCTCAATGGTTATCTTTAACCTGGTGGTTGGGGTGATTTATATGTCATCTGACAGAAAATTGCAGTCCAGAATTGCAGCCCAGTTGTTGGGAGTCCAGATGACTGAGGGCTGAATCAGTTTCTTTCAAGTCAGTGTTCTGGGAGTTGATCAGTATAGATCGATCCATTGTGGCAGAATGCAGATTGGTGATGGCCTGGGGCTGGAGGCGGAGGCTAAGGGGAGAAACTGCTTAATGGGTTAGGGGGTGTATTTTGAAGTGATAGAAATGCCTTGGAACTAGATAGAGGTTGTGGTTGCACAGCATTGTGAATGTACTATGTGCCACAGAATTGTTCACTTTAAAATCGTTCATTTATGGTATGCGAATTTCACCTCAAGGAATTATAAGGGAAAAAGGTGAGGAACTGCGAGATCTCCAAGATAAACAGCTAAGGCAAGAAAGGAAAGTGCAAAACTGTATGTGCACATTATTGTGTAACTATCAGCATGGAATATCCCCTATTGACCTTTCTGTCCCTGATGAAATTTGTAAAATATACATGTATTACCTATGCAAAAAAATTAAAGTAAATTAATAAATTATTTTTAAACACGGTGCTGACTTCAGAGTCAGATCTGATGTCCCTTTAAATATGCCTTTCTTTGTTTCTCAGGTATTTAAATACCTCCCCAGCTGCCTCTAAAGACAATTTGGTCTCATTCCATTTGATCCATCACTTGGTGTGAATTATTTGTAATCTCTTTAAACCCAGTGGAATTCTGAATTCCATTCCTATTTCTCCTTTCTGAAGGTCCCCACTCTAGAAGACAGCAGAATGGCAACTGGTTGGAGCCACCTTGATGCTCATGGCTTGTCTGGCTCCAGGTTGTCACACGAAGGCCTTATCAAACAAAATCACCTCATATCCCATGGAAGGGCAACAGGCAGACCTAGTACAGTGTAATTATTATAGTGTGGGTTCCAAACATTTCATGGAACTAAAATCATATGTTAATGCATATGTTTAATGAGTTTTAGAAAAATTGCAAGTGAAAATCTAAGAAAATAATTAAAGTAATCTTTCCATGAATTTCTCCTTTTACCATATATAACCTCACCAATACGATATTCATAATTATCTACTAGACCAAAATTATACTTCAGAAACAAATGTAAAATATCCTAATTCAAGAAGTGCTATAGAACAGAAAGAGTTCACCCACCCGGTTCCAGCAGAACCAAACACTAAACACCGAGAATCTTAGTGGAGAAATAGTGGCTGTTTTATTGATGAATGGCACCATCCAGGAGAACAGGAAGCTAATGCTCAAAGGCCCGAACTCCCCGATGGTGTGTAGGCTACAGATTATATGGGGCAAAATCACAGGACNGGGATAGGAAGGGAGAGAGTAGCTGCTTCATTCCATGATGTCATTCTGGTTCTTGGTTCTAGTCTTATTCTTTTGTGAGCCTGAGACCCAGCTGCACCACCTTCCCCTTAGACTGTGGGAGATGTTTTTAGGTTCTTCTCAAATACTTCTCTTTCTTAGGAGCTAGGTTTAGTAGCTTTCTGCTACTGGCTACCAAACTGTCTGGGGTGGGGCTGCTTATATTTTAACAAAGCAATCCTTTTCAAGGAAGGTTTGCATTAGAGAATGTTACTTCCCCTGTCTGAGACCCATGGATTAGAAACAGAGGGCCACAATGGCCTGTGGACAGGGAAATGCCAGCCAAGGGTCTCCTTCCCTTTACTAGACAACACCTGACCTTCAGTGCCAGCCACCAATTTCATCAAGACTTCCCAGGTCTTGCCTGGAACTTGTGATTGTTCTCCTGAAATCGGTGCCAAGATTTTTCTGAATGGAAACTCCATCTGGCTTTGGAAAGAGTGTTCACGTGGATTCAGGATTTCCATGAGTAACAGCCACTGAATATCCAAAACATACATGTACTTTGCCAACTTTCCATGGGTGGGTGTACAAAAGAGACCCAGAGGACCATATTTCTGGCCGTCACCCTTGGAACGCAGCGTAGGAAGGATGAGCCCCAAGCATGGCTGTCTTGCTTTTTTATTTAGCAGGTGGATGTGCTCTGAACTGTATATTCCTGCATGTGTGTCTGAAGTGGAGGATGACTAAGGAGCAAGAAAATGTTGGTTGAGCCAGTGCCAAAAGAGGAAAAGCAAAAAATTGACGCGATTACACAACTATGGAGGAAGACTGTCTAGAAATGTGTTTCTCCATTACCTGGGGAGAGAATGTTGTGTTTATTTCTTCCTTGGGGCAATTTCCAATGCTGGCGACATAACAGAATCACCTGTGAAGCTTGCTAAACAATGCAGATGCCTGGGTGCCCTTTGGAGATGCTGACTCAGTAAGTATGAGGTAGGGCCTCTCAGGCTACATTCTAGAATGGTCCTTGCTGAAGATCCTATTATCATAGGAACTCAACAAAAAGTCCTCCTCCCATCCCATCAGCCTCTCCTCCCATCTGTGGAACAGCATGGTCTGGTCAGCAGTGCTTGCTTTCCCGTGGATGTGGGTGGAAGCTGGTGGAGTAGTGGAAAGATGGCTGGACTTGGATCTAGCTAGTCCTGGGTTTAGGTTCTGGCCCTAATTGCCATGACCTAAATATCCTAGGGTTCTCTAGCTTATGGGCACATTAGCACCCCAACCACAGGGCTCTTAGTCCACACCTGCTGTCACTAAAAAGATAATCCAGGAAGTCCCCATGGGATGTGTTAGTAAAACTGAGAATCAGTCCTGGTTTCCAGTCACCTTCACTATTTTTATCTTCCAGATTCTTGTGCCATCTTGATGATAATGATTTAAGATTTAGTAAGTGGTGTTCTCAACTGCCTGGCAGGGTTTCCCAGTAATGTGGGGGTAGCTGCTGTGGTTTCTGCCATGTTGAGATCCTTAATGCTCAGCAACAAAAAGGAATGAACTACTTATACAAATGACAACACGGATGCATCGCAGAGGCATTATGTTAAGTGAAAGAAGCCAGACTTAAAACACTATATACTGATTTCATTTATTCGATGTTCTAGAAAAGGCAAAAGTATAGGTACAGAAAATAGATCATTGGTTGCCAGAGGCTAGGATGGAGGCAGAGGGTTGACTATAAAGAGGTACAGGGACATTTGGAGGTTCTATACGTAGACTGAAGTCATTGATTTTTAAAATTTTAACAATTCAGAATAATTANGGTCAAAATCCTCTGCTATAAACCTGACTGGGAGGTGTCATGCATAAAGATGTTTATTGACGTTCTGTTTATAATAGCAAAAAATGTGAAAACCACTTATTAGTATTTCAGCAGGAAAAAGGATAAACAGGGATTTCTACAAACATTACAATACAGCAGTTAAAGTAATGAACAACCTTTCTAGGATAATTCTTTCATGGATAATTCTCAAAGAAACATAACAATGTGGAGTGGAAAAGGCAATTTGCAAAATGATAGTACAAAATTCTACTTGTACATATTTTAAAAACACAAAACAACAGTGCATACTGTTTATGGATGCTATAAATATAGTAAAAAAATACAGAAATGTACAGGCTGCCTGTGAGGTGGAAGGCAGGGGAACAGATGGAGACTGGCTTCCATTGTATTTATAACATTTTATTCTCTTTAAGAAAGAGTGTATGTACCAGCGTGGAGGAGTTCTGAAGCAAAAGTGTCCAAATATTCACATCTGTTTAATCATCACAGTTGAGTAATTACATGTGGGTTTATGGGTGTGTCTGTTGTATTATTTCTGGTATATTTGAAATCATTTGTGAATACATCGAAATCAAAAAAAGCAAAAGGCAAGCTCCCCACCCCCCACTTGCCACCACCTCTAACAAAACAAAACAAAAAACCTCTTCTGGCCAAAGACTCTTTTCTTAGATCTGTTCTTGACAGGAACGCCCGCCTCCCCAGGGCCCAGCAGTAGTCTCCATTACTGTGAGGTGGGAGCCAGGAGTGGGAGGGTCCACACAAGGCCCAGGTGGAGGGGCATTTCTCTTCATGAAAGGCCCTCTGTCTGCTTGAATGGTTGGGAGGTTTCCTCTTGGGGTGGGTGGAAGGATCAGGCAGCTGGAGCCAGGTAATGAATGGCTCCCTGCAGCAGATGGGGCT